TCTCACTCATAGAACCCTATGGGATAGAGTAGAACTTCCCGTGTGGGTTTCCAAGACTGTAAATCTTACAGGAGTAGAAAACCTCTTTGTCAAGAGGAGCAGCTAGTGAAATCAAGCTGCCACACGTTACGGCAACTCAGTGTTATTGTCTTCCTCCTAAATCTCTTGCTATGTGTTTAATTTCTAAGAAGAGGACTGAAGGATATAATATTTTAAATAACTTCTTACTGAAGTAAGCTAGGATTGGGGGTGGCGGGGAGCGGCGGGGTTTACTGACCCTTACCCAATATATTTATCAGTAAGAAGGTATTCAAAAATTTAACATGCCTGTCCTATTCTTAGACATTAAATACATAGCAGGAGATTTAATAGGAAGTCACATGCTGAGGTGCCTTAAAGGATAATACTGCTTTGAATTTTTAATGAAAAGTACATTTAAAGTATATTTCTTTGTGTGTTTTTTTTCATAATATAAAAAGCATTGTGATTGAGAGTGATTATACTGAAGACTGTAATTGAGATACAAACTGGTTAGGGGTGGGTGGGGTAAGAGGACACACATAGGCTGAGGGACAGTGAAGTGGCAGTAGGATCAGATTGTGGTCAGAAGCTATTTGAGTTTGCGTGGGGTAGAGGAATATGGACAGAGAGGTGGTGATTGGAGAGTGGGAGGGTTAAACTAAAGATTATGGATGGTTGTTGCTGGTAGTGACACTGACTTAAGTATGATCCTAGGAGTAAGTGGCTGAGGTCAGATTATGATTCAAACAGGAAGACATCCTTGGCAGCGTCAATCTTTCTCCATTTATCCTGTTAGCCATTGGTTCAGTGATGGGGGTCTGGTTTCCTTTGGTGGTCTCTACTGAAGGCTGCAGTGCTTGATCTTCATCAGCAAATGGCTTCAAATGCTTTTTGTTTTCCCCAAACAAGATTACTTCATTTGTACATTGCAGATTGTAAATAAACTTTCCTCCCATCCTGATGCTGAGTTCCTCACATAATCAAATTTCTTTCATTATTTGCTCAGTGTACTGATTGAATAAATATGGTAAAAACCCAACTTTGGTACACACCTTTCCTGATTTTTCCTTCTTCTGTTCTGAGTACAATTGTGTTATGATCTACATAGTCGAAAGCCTTTGCATTCAACAGTAAAACACAAGTAAACACCTTTTTGATATCCTCTACTTTGAGGCAAATTTATCTGACGTCAGCAGTGATGTCCCTCATTTCATGGTTTTTTTTTAATGTGTCTTGAATTTCTGGTAGCACCCTGTTAATGTATTGTTGGAACCACTGTTTTTTTTGTTTTTGTTTTTTTTAAACATTTTATTAGGGGCTCATACAACTGTTATCCCAATCCATACACACATCAATTGTG